GTTGCTTCGGGCAAATGGTCACGTGGATACAAACCAGGTAACAAACTTTTTACCAGATGTCTATCGGTGTAGTCGGCTCTGTGGTTAAGTCGATGCGAAAGCTTCGTAATGCCGGGATGCCGGATTCAATCCCAGCTGCGGGCTATGCGCCTTGCGTTGGTTTCGACAGTGGTATCAGGAGGCCGACCGTCCAGGAAGCAATGGCAAACTACTAGACGTAAATTTGCCTAGAGAAACTACGCAACAGCCAGGTGCTGCTGGGGTTGTTTCTGCAACGTCCTGTAAAGGACGTTGCACTTAACAGTGATGTGATGTGGACACGTTGCTTCCAAAAAGTCTAACTAACCTTTTATAAAAAAAGCCGACTGTCCAGAAGCAGTGGCAAACTACTGGATGTAAATTTGCCTAGAAAAACCACACAACAGCTAGGGGCTGTTGGGGTTGGTTTTGTAACGTCCTGTAAATGATACACAACTAACGTTGTCTATCGGTGTTCAGGAAATCGTTTAAAAATTGATCATACAGTTTTGGCGACTAATGCATGACAAAGGACTATCATTTGGAACCTCCTTAACGCCGTCATGATCTACTTACAGACGAAGAGGTTGCAAATGAATAACTTCGTAAATATAAATTATCACTTGTGCTGTAAAATTCGTACACTGTTCAGTAGGGAAATAAAAGAGCAACAACAAATGGTTGTTAAAAAAAAAAAAAAATAATAATAATAAAATAAAGATGATAACACCTTGAAAACCGCCCCCTCCCCTTTCCCCCATACACTGGTCCTTTATTTATCAACATAATTTTTTACTAACATTGATGCTCGTGTCCCATCGTTTTATTGCTCCTCCTAAACCTGATGCATGAGTTATGAGTTAGGTTATGAGTTAGGTTATGAGTTAGGTTATCTTCAAAGCACTCCGGACACATCCATAGGCGCTCAGATTACCCTCTCAAACATATTCATCAGTGTCGCGCAGTTAATAGTGCCAGTCCTATGTTAGTAAACAAGACTTCGTGTGCGTCCGGTGTGCTTCTCATGCTTGGCTGTGCCGATCTTGACTCCCAATTCTCGTATTCTTAGCAGTGATGTGGACACGTTGCTTCCAAAAATCCTCAGAACGTCCTATCTCTAAGGGCAATGACAATGTCTGCGTGATCCATGGACAGACCATCTTTAATTAATGCAACACTTGCCAGTCTATCAGCTCTTTCATTACCAACAACGCCTGCATGCCCTGGGACGAATATGAAGGTAACTGCACACACATGAAAGTTTTGCAATGACTCAGACCACTGTCTGCGTAACCAGTCTGCCTCGACCCGCCGGATCATACTCAAAGAATCACCCAGCACACACACGCGGGAATAGTCCTGTGATTCTAGCTGAATAACCTGCTGAATTAAACTGCGTGCCCTGTTTTCTAAACCATATTTTCACTTCACATTCAACTTCTGCGTCATTCGCAAAATGTCTCCAGCCAAGGTGGGTTTTCAGTGGACCAAAAAGGTGGAAATCTCTAGCGGCTAAGTCGGGACTGTGAAGTGGAGGCTCCAGAGGTTCCCACCCTGTCACCTCTAATCAGTTCCTACACCCGCTGCACGGGTAAATATCTTTTACAGGCGGCCTTTTTGCTCTGGGAGAGGGGCGGGTGTCTCTGTAGCGGTCAAGGCGTTTTCCAGGCGCTATGAAGATCGCGAGTTCGACCCACGGATGCAGTTAATGGGTGCAGTTTTTACTGAGATCCTAAGGATCATCAATGGAGCTACGGAGTTCGTGCTTTGTGCAATGCTAGCCGTTCTGCGGACAGAGACCGAGGCATATGGGATGAAAACTCGGCGCAATGAAGTGAATGCTTTCCACCTGCGTCATCCGCTGTATATAACCATGCACTTTCTCAACAGTGTCCAGAGAAACATCCTGCCCACGCTTGCCCCGTGAAACTTGCTATAGAGAAGGGTCGTGTGGATATCCTCAAGCTGTTTATTCTCAGTGGGTACGACAACAAACACATCCGAGAGTATCTGGCCTCCCCGGCAGTGCAGCTACTTTTCGCTGATAACCAGGTATACATGATATGTAGTCTTGTATATTATGTTACCTTCACTTTGGCCTACCGGCAGCACACCTATAATTTTGCTGACAACCAGGTATACATGATATGTTGTCTTGTACATTATGTACGAGAGTCCGTTTAATTGCAACAGGGAAGATCGAGGCCTGGCTGCATGACCCAGGTCGGACCAGCTTCCGAGACTATATAGGAAACAATCGACGAAAGATCTTTCTACTGATGATCGGTAGGCCCCTGCTGTGCATGCCCCCTGTGAAGTTATCTTTCCGAGCTGAAAAAACAAGCTGCCATTCTTTAGACATAAACATAGGGAAAACCTTGAGACCATAAAATCCTTATATATAAACAACAATTAGGCATGTATTGATCGGTATTCATAGAAAGAAGTAGATAGATAGAATGACACACTAGTAAGTAAAGTAAAATTAAATTAAAGGACCCTTTTCTACGCCTTTAAGCATTTGGGCATATAGGGCTAGACCTATATTTTATAGACCAACGGCACAAGATGGGTGATGTGGTCAGCATCACGCCGGTCGCCTCTACTTCCTGGGACTGCACCCGGTACCCACTCAAGGCTGGGTCGACCTGGGAGACAAGGATGAGACACTAGACAACGTAAAATAAATTACTATTGTTGCCATGCTGGGAATAGAACCTGTCATCTTCAAATAAAGAAAGCGCCTCGCTGCAAAATCAAATGTATGTACTAAGACGCATGACCAACAAGGCACCCTCAACATCAGTAGATTTCGATTATGGTAGCTATAGCTACAATTTATATTTTGCTCAGTGTGTCCTGCTATCTTTCTAATTCTTTCTCTGACATTTTAAGGACTGGCTGATAAAATGTATAGTTTTTTGGAAACTCATTGTTCCTTGAAAAAAAAAAAATCCTCATCCACATCTTATATGGGAGTCGCCATGGTAGAGCGGCTGGACACACGCCTTGGATCGGAAGGTGGTGAATTCGCTCCCTGGCGGAGCACCAATCAGGACAAGAAGGGTGATTTGGTCAGCATTACGCCGACCGCCTTTACTTTCTGGGACTACACCTGGTACCCACTAAAGGCTTGGTCGAGCCAAGGTCATTTTTTAAAAAAGTCCGGCTCCACCAGAAGGCGAACCCACGACCTTTAGATCTGCGGCGTGCGTCTAGCCGCTCTGCCACGGCGACTTCCGTGATAAAAAAAACCACTGGTAAACATCTCTAGAGAAGCAAACTTGCAAAGAGACTAGATTTGTGGATCTGAAGTAGACTACTTGTGTTTCTTGGAAGAAGTCTCTAGTACCTATTAGTCAAGAACATCCAAAGACCGTGGTTGGAGCCTCTAAAAAGGTCACGGCTGACACACATCAGTTTCATATTTGTGCCAGGGCACACAGGCGTGCAAGGAAATGAGCAGGCTGATCGGCTAGCAGTTAAAGCCACTGTGGAGGGCATACAAGCCATTGACCATGCTCATATTCTGAATGCTCTACGAGATGTAAGACGTTTGAGAACCAAGTGATGACCGCAAGAACAACATGTTAAAAGGAGAGTGGCCAGACAAGAGAATTATGCAGGAAGCCAAAGAGGAATAATAAACCAACATTGGATTGGTGTCATGAGCTGATACTGTACTGCAGGATTTACTAAGGAGGGTATCAGAGCACTTATGGACTGAATGGTTCAACTATGCAATGAATATAATCTGTTGACAAATTTGTGATTAGTCAAGAACACTTTGCTCCACTAAAATCTACATTTTCATTTACTCTGAGGTTTCCAGAGAAAACACTTCATTTGCTATTCTCAAATATGCAGGTAACTCACTGGCTACATCATGCCCAAGAGTGATGTCATTACGGCAGATGTGTCGCAAGTGGTTGCGTCACCATTTGGGCTTCCGACTCTTCATGGATCTCTCCAAGCTTCCGTTACCGGACAAACTCAAGAATTATGTCTCGCTTCAAGAACTTGAGGAGACTCTGGCATGAAAATAAAGACACAACCATTTGTTTGCAGCCTGATTAACTTATTTAGTTTATGTCTCCTAACCTTTTTACCCCAATGGAGTTTACACCAACAACCAAGTCTTACAACCCTGTGATATCTCAAGCAGCTCACATTTTTTATTCCTGATCATTTTCACCTGTTGTTAATGTTAGTGATGTGTGTATTGTGTGTGTGTGTGTGAGGTTTCCCTTTGTTTCTTTGGCCATAAGGGTTAAAGTGCAAGTATAATTATGCTTTCATTAATCAGGTTTTCTTAATGCATGTCCTATTCTGCAACAGCATCTGTCTGAAAGGCAAGGAACCAACTGTCTGCACACAGTAAAGCCAGATCTGTAAAATGGATGTGCATGCAAATTGCAAGACCGAGAACAAGACTGAAGTTCACAAGCGGACACACAAAAACCACAACGTTTTTGCAGGTTACAGCCGATAAAGGCAAAGAAGAAGTAGAAGAAGTTCATTTGATCCTCATTTTGTTTCTGAATTACGAGGACACAAACAATTAAATGCACAATTTATTGCCTCGCATATTTTACTGTATTTTGCCATGTGCATCTACAGAAATAAATTAATACATCATAGAGGAAAATAGTGACATTTGTGGTGGTGGGGTGGGGGGGGGGGGGCATCTTGTGTTTTAATTCCCATGTTTTCAGATTTGTATTTTGTGATCGCTGAACATGCTGTGACTGCTGGACAGATCTGTGGACGGAGAGACAGAGGAAAACAACCAAAAAAAGATTCTTCACAACCTTTTGTCATGGCAGGGAAGGGCATCAGCATACAAACTGATACATGCTGCCGGAGATACCATCACAACACACATACATATTATATTTAACAACTTCGAATCACAAATATAGTTTTCATTTCTGATTTACTTGAATAGAAACGCTTGATTATAAGATTTCACATTTTAAAATACAAATACACATTCAGACATTAAATTGTAAAACTACATCAAAATTATACTATAAATCTATATCAAAATTCTACTTTAAAAAAAACCTAAACATTATGTAAAGGATACGGTGTAAAGGAGACTTATCACACCAGGCATGTGATGCAAGAATCATATTTACACAGACTGATCAGCATTTAAGGGACACTACACCAAAAAAATTTATTTTTTTATTTACAGAGTTAGAGCAAATATTTTATAATGGTCATTTGTAGGGATACATGTTATTACATTTGTATACTTTAAGTGTTAAAAAATTCATAGTTGTCATGGCAATAGCCGCCATCTTGTGAAAAAAACAATATGTACTTAGGATCCTAAAATTTTAAAAACAAACATAGGTATTCAACAATAGATGATGGATTCATGACCTGTTATTCTATTTACAGGTACAAGTCTAGTTTATTTACTTTAAACATGTTTTTAAATATTTTTCGTAGAATTTTAAAATTGGTTTATTGAAAAAGTCAAAAAATCTAGCATCATCGGACAATAATCAAATTTTAAAAAACAAAAACTTTCTAAAATCTACTTTTAGATAAACCAGTCCCTATAATATTGTTTACGGAGTATACATACACAATTTCATGTTTCTACTCTTTATATTAGCTTAGATTTTAGGATTTCAGACACACAGCAAACTGAAATATAGAGATTTGAGAAAACTGACTTTTAAACTTTTTTTATCTTAAAAAAGTCCACGAGGAGGTGTCGTTAGTATTAACCTTTCAATGCTAAATTGTTTACAAATGATATAAATTTTGTGTGTCGTCTATTTTACGAATGCCGAACTTTACAAAAACGAAGACATTTAAAAAAGTGATATTTTTGTCATAAATTGGAAAAAAATGCGGTGTAGTGACCCCTTAACTGGTAATGAAGTAAGCATCATGTGGTCCGCCTTAACTTCCAAGGACTTTACTTGGTATCCTTCTTAGCCTGGATTAAACCAAGAGCCAAGGTCATATTTTCATCTTCAAAATTCGACTTGATGTAAATCTGAACCAGAGATCTTCGGCACCAGCAGGTGAGCATAATACGGCTGAACCACCACAGTACTCATGTCAATAATACATCTATTTTATCTTTTTTAATTTAGCTGACTAAAACTAAAAGACTACTAAAAATTGTTTTACAGTACATACATTTTCAGTTATGCTGAATAAAGAATCAACATTATAGTACTCAGGACACTCCCATAAGCACATCTTCCCCCATCTTCAGCAGCAAGCGAACAGTTCCAATTCCAATGGTACCAGTAACTGTCTGACTGTACAGGCATCCCACCTTTCCCTTTAGTGTTGAGCATGAGCGAGATCCCCTGGTAACTCTCCCGCAGCACCATTCTCCTCAAACCAGAATGATCTGTTTGTGCCTCTGCACTGTTCACATACTCCCAAATGGCCCTCACAAGTTGGAAAGTGCTGATAGCAACTGTCTTGTACTGAAAGGTTTTAGAGATGAGAGAACTGCAAATATTAGTTGCTTATGTTCCCGCTTGCATGGTGACAAATGATTTTCAGAGGTAATTAAAGTTACTGAAATTGATGCTCCATTTCACTTGAGTTGTAATTTTTCTTTGTAAAAATTACTTTTGTTGCCACATACAATATAAATAATCATACAAGATTCTTTCACCAGGAAGGCTAAACCAGGTAACAAATACCTGAAGAAGTCCCATATGTTGGCGAGAAGATGCAAATATCACAGCCGTGCTGTCAATGGGCACAATACAATTACGTCTTTTGATGAACGCAGAAGAAGAACAATAAGGAAGAACCTTTTCTATCCTTTACAGGTCGTCACAAACCAGTAACAGCACTGCTTCGCTGTTTGTGGTTATCCTAGGCAATTTTACATTTCATAGTTTGCCACTGCTTTTCTCCATGATCAGGGCTCCATACCATTATTTAAATCAATGCAAAAATGGTATGATGCCAAACTGACTGCAGCTGGAATTTACCTCGCTATTTCAGACTTAAAAACTTTGATCAAACATCCCCCCCCCCCCCCCCCCCAAAATCCCCTTTCCCTGCCCCAAGCCACAAATGCAACATAAAAGATCAAATCATGACAGAATCAGTGTCTTCTTCTGCCTTTCTAGCCCCCAATGGGGCACAGGCCTTCAACCAACTCACGCCAAGGTGTTCTATCCTTTGCTATCACATGCAGCTCTCTCCATGTCCTCTTCATCTTTCTAACTTTATTCTCCAGCTCCCTTCTCCAAGTATTTTTTGGCCAGAATCAGTGTAGGAAACACAGAAACATGTCCTGCAGATTGGCATAAAAAAAATTACAGAGCATATGCTCCAACATTGTCAAATGTATGCTGCAAACAGAGATGCAATTTGGCCTGTTCCAACCACAATGAAGACAAAGCTGTATGGTACACAAGAGGATATGGACTGCACAATAGCTTTCATTAAGGCTACTGTTTTCCTGCTATTAGTTTTTGACAGACGGATCAAAGAAGGAGAAGAAGAAGATACAAACCAGACACATACATGACATGTTACTCTGTGCAGCAGTAAGTAAAAGTAAAACGACCCCTTTTTTCATGCCTTCAAGGGTAATAGGCATATAGAGCTAGACCTATATTTTAACAAACCAAACCATGCTTGGTGGGTGACGTGGTCAGCATCACACCAGCTGCCTTTACTTTCCAGGACTGCACATGGTACCTACTTAAGGCTGGGTCAACATAGGAGCCAAGTCCATTTTTGAAAAAAAAAAAAAAAAAATCCTGAACCTACAACCTTTTGATCACAGGCAAGCATCTAGCCGCTACACCATGGTGACTCCCTTTGTAGCAGTTGGCTGCCATGATATAATTAATGTAAGCAAGTACAGAACCATTTTCACACCAGTGGCGCATCGGGCATTTGATACTAGACCAACTGGCACTCGATGGTGATATGGTCAACACCATACCAGCAGACTTTACTTCCCAGGACTTTTCCTGGCATTTTTTTGAGGCCGGGCCAATTGGGAGCTAAAGTCTTATGACTCAAAGTAGATTTGAACCCTCAACCGGCGTGACTTCCTCTGCTCTAATATAACTTTTATGTTGTAAAACTGAGCGTCTGAGATTTGTTTTGCTGCGTCAGCATCCGAAAAAATGGCTTCTTGAGCCATTGTTGCAAAATCTTCAGGTTTCAATGCCAGATTTTGAATTGAAAAAAATTAATATGGCTTCTGACCTATAAGAGTGAATGAAAATGTATGAAACAATTCATAACAACAGAAAATAAAGCTGGTCAGCTTTACAAGAAAACAGTCACAACTGGCAGGATGTACTGTACTGTATAGAAAGGTGTCATCAGCATGCGCAAATAAAATATATTAATAAAGCTACAGTTAATACAAACTATCCCCCTACCACACACATACAAATCACTTAGCCATTTGATGCAAAAGTCCAGGAGACATTATATTCTTAGGGCATAGAAAAATCAGCATCTATTTCTCACCACCTGATTTGCTAGAACTTTTTTAGTTCTCTTCCTCAGATCTGAATTGGTGATTTTATCATACCATTTTATTCCTTATTTTGTAGACAAGCCTTATGTAGTGAATGTTTGTGTTTGTAATGGCTTTAGCTGTTCTGCATGTTGCTGAACAACACATCAGTACTGGTTTGTATGTAAGTTGTTCCCCACCAGGACATCACATAAAGCGATAAACACCCAGTGACACAAAGTGCCACCATGTGGATGACGATCACCCGTGGAGAGGTCCCGGAAACCCCCTTCAGCTGTTTGGCCATATTTCAGGCCCGGCTATATATAGGGCCCTCTGGCAAAAGCCAGGGTGGGGCTTCAGGATAGCGAAAATTGCATCCTACAAGGGGATGACGAGTTACTGGTTTGTGACCTCATCAAAGTGCTGGGGGTGGGGATGTAAGGATCTTCTATGTGTTTTATCTAATGTGCTGTAAAAGTTGGTCTTCTTTTCTTTAAGGCTGTTGTTGAGACCAGCTTTCCATGTTTCGTATGATCTTCCTCTTGTTCTGTGTTGATTATATTTTTTCAGCATGACTCTCAGGGAAATTAGTACCAGGATACAATCTTTTCATATGGCCAAAAGATCTCAAATGTTGCTATTTAATGAACTGTATGAATGGTTTCAGACCTAGGCATCTTCTAATTTGCTAGGAAAATATTTTAAGTTTGGAACTAGGTTTAATTTTCTTTGACTTTCACAGATTTCCTAGTTCTGAGAAAAGACTTTTTCTTATTCTTCTTCAGCATTCCGAGCCCTTGAGGTTTATTGCTGCAGATATCACCCGTCTCCATTCATATCTCTGGTTGGCCTTCTCTTTCCAGTTGGTGACACCAAGTGTCTGCAGGTCTGCCTGGACATTATTTCTCCAACATCTTCTTGGTCTGCCTCGTGGTCTATGACCATTCATCTCCCATGTGTATACAGTTTTTTACTTGTCTGTCATCTGACATTCTTTCAATATGCCCCAATCATTTCAGTCTATTAGCTCTCATGATGCCAGTGATCAAAGGTGATTTAAACAAATTATGAATTTTGTTATTGCTTCTCACTCTCCATTCACCGCTGTTTGCATCTTTGAGGGGTCCAAAAATTCATCAGAAGACTCTGTTTTGTAAACCTGTAATAAGGCTTCATCTCTTTTATTTGTGCTCCAAGTTTCAAGAGTCATATGAAACGAATGGTCTTTTCAACATTGATATTTTTGTATCTTGGTGTTGCGAGACAGACACTTTGACTGTACCAGATGTTGAAGGGCATAGTATACTTTATTTACAGATTGTATTCTAGATTGTATTTCTTCTCTCATGTTAGAGCAGTTGAAGTTTGCACCTAAGTACTTATGTTTCCATTTGTTTGATTTTATTATTATCGACTTGTATGTGGCCCTGGGGAATGCAATCCATGTAATGCTTTAATCTGTTTTTGTTTACTGATTACTCCCTTTATATCAATACTAAATTGCAAACCCTTTCTATATTTCATGTGTTTATTATAAATGAAGTGTTAACTCCTCCCAAACCGTGACCAATACATGGGTTACATTTTTAACCTGCCATTATGACTAAAATTTTTAAAAACAGTCACATTGGTGGCCAGGTTATTGCGCATTTGTTTATTTATTGCCACAATTAGTAAAAGTAAACTTTCACTGGAGTTTTTTCCCTTTAAATACTTTTTTCTAATAATTCCCGTGAATAGGTAAGTTTAAAAAAAAAAAAAAGAATTTTGCTGTTATCTTGCATGAAACCATACATCTATACGTGTCTGAGACAGTACATTTGTCTGTCTCCCAAAGTGTTAAATACCGGTATTAGTATTACAAGAGATGCCTCGAGTACACCTAGAGGTAATGACTAAAGATACAGCAGTGGTGAAGACAAAAATGTGAAGTAGATGATGGAATATTAAATATAGGGTTTTAGTCTGACCCCTTGACCTTCATATAAGGCAGCAGCAGAGACCAAGATGAGTTAGAGGTTGGGAGAATAAGACATTCTTTCACTATCCTGGGTGAAGCCAGGCAATTAAATCTTGTATCTTTATTTATTTCAAAACAAAAATGTTAAAAAAAAAAAAAAAACAACAACAGTAGATAAAACATTTGTATAGACTTAAAAAAAAAAAAAAGCCACATCAACAAAACAAATGTTCACATCAAATTGCTGGTAGTAAATATTGTCAGAAATAGCAATTAGCTGCTCAGCCTTTGGTGAAAAGGTACCATATAACCAACAAATAAAATACAAATAACTGTACTTTGGGACATAATACTTCAAATTTTGTTGAAGAAAAATACCATCAAGTTTGGTCAAAAACAAAGTATCTTTTTCCAAGCCCCCTGAAGGGTTTTAAAGTATAAAATAGATTGTTTCATACATCTATATAAAAAAAAAATACTTGTATAAGTAAATATACATTTGGAAATGATTATCATTTGTGGAAGATTAATAAAAAACACTTAAAAAAACATTGAGCACTGAAAAAAATAAGTTACAAATGTGAAAATAGAAGAAAGAGTATATCATATGTTTGAGAGAAATAATACTGAATAACCATAAGGTGCATTAGCTTAGGGAGCTGTAACTAAGAAGCTTAATGAAAAATGGGGGTGGGGGGGGGGTGGGAGAACACACACAGCCAGAACCTTTCCCGACACAAACCCCAACAACAGCATCTAGCAGAGTTTCCACCAGTCCACACACAGGGCAGTCAATTAGTTTGACAACAGTCACACCTGTTTTTGTCAATTTAGGCAGCCGTTGTAGTGTTTTAGTATCTTGGACAAAGAAGAGGAGAAATACTGACATCTTGAAAGAACTGAACATCAAAGAAGATTGGCTAATAAACAACATCGTGTCCCTTAAGCTGAAATATTTTGGTCTTATCAAGCGCCACGATGGACTTGAAAAAATAACAGCAGACGGCATGGTACCAGGAAGGAGGGACAGTGGTCGACCAATACGAAGATGGGCAATTGATATAAGTGACTCCTTGAGTATGAAAGTACATGAGGCGGGAGAGCCGGCGAGAGACAAGAGTTTCTTTCAGGTAGACCGTGATGAGAGCGACGTTCTGCAAAGGACCTGCTACATGATGAAGATGATGAGTAGTGTTATGGCAAGCATACCTGCCTTTCAATCAGCCACTGGGTGAAACAATGATTACAGAGCCATTCCTAAGGGATAAATATCATGGCTCTTGTCTGATAAACGGATAACAGAGCCAACCTTAACAGACAGATATCAGAGCTCTCATCTGATAAACAGATAACATAGACACTTGTGATATTGTTACACAAATAATATGCCCACCCATAACACATCAACAACAGGGTCACTCATGATACATATATATCAGGACCACTCAATATACAAAGATAACAGAATCACCCATTAATTATGGATGACAGGATCGAGGGTGATCCTAAGGATAACAGGATCACCCATAACACACACAGAAAACAGGATCACCCATTACATAAGGATAACAGGATCACCTATCACATAAGGATAACATGATCAAACATAACACACACAGAAAACAGGATCACCCATTAGAGAGAGAGAGAGAGAGAGAGAGAGGAGAGAGAGAGAGAGGGAGAGAGAGAAGAGAGAGAGAGGGGGGGTCATAAAGAAATCGGGCTTTGTAAGGTGCTACTTCCACACATTTTCATTTGATCTCTTTAAAGGAGATAGCTCATCATTTTCAACAATCATTATTTCTGTGACTTCGTTTTTGTTCTGAGAAAATTCTAAAACTTTCAGCCTCAGGGGGTTTAGCCTTCAAGCATATTGGGCATATAGGGCTAGACCTATATTTTACAGACCAATTGGCACTTGGTGGGTGATGTGATCTGTATCACACCAGCCGCCTCAACTTCCCAGGGCCTTAGCTGGTACCCACTCAAGGCTGGGTTGACCTGGGAGTCAAGGTCATTTTGAAAAAATTCCGGCTCCAAGGGATAGTTAAAAAAAAAAGACCTCAAACTGGCGCATCTTGAGTTCACTGGGCTTCTAGGCAGAAACCTATGTATTTATGATGTGTTCCTTGGGACCAAAAGAGGGAGCTAAAACTGCATCTGCTGATACCAGATAAACTGTGAACTACTGCTTCTTGCCGTCTGTTGTAAGTTCAAACTGGAGTAGTCTTTCTGATATGGGTTTTGCTGGTTGCCAAAGATCTAGTATTCTCACTTCTTCTACTTCTTCTTGTTTCTGACTTTTTTCCATTTTGTGTCGAAATGTTTTCCTGTGAACAGTTAACATCAAGTTATCAATCACTATTGTATGAGAATATGTGAACAATCTATTAGTTTTTTAACTTTAATTTTATTTGAATTCATTGATCAACAAAATTATAATTACAAATCCGGGACCCTCATCGGGGAAGGGCTGGGGGGGGGGGGGGGCACGGGGTTGGAGAGGGGGTAGGCAGGCCCACTGCTCCTTGACAATCATGTCAGGAAAGGTGATTACCTGCAAATTTTCTTAAACTGGATATTTTAGGCCAAAAGGTGCAGATTTTCCCAGCCTAGCTGTAAACCACAACATAACGTGTTTGTCAAGAGTCAGGTTTTGGTGCCCAGGAGTTGAGAGTCTGATGTTTCCCGAAATATAAAGATTCGACATACTGTGGGACAGGTATCAAGGATTCTTGCCAACAGTTGCTAGAGGTCAGAGGTCACTATCAAGGGTGGTGCCTTCTAGAACAAAAATAATGTGACTTCACTGATGAAGAGACTGTGTATTGACTGGCACTGTTTATTTATGTGTATTCACTGGACGAACAATCATAAATGATTTGTGCTTCCTAGGACAGCATTAACAGAGCAGAGTCAAAATACAGACAAGCTCCTATCAAATGATTCAGCCTTTATTTAGTAGTATTTTGTCAATACACCATATATATGAATATAAAACATAAACAGTCCACACACTCACATACGATCTATGTCAGGGATGCAAGACTGAATTTAAAAAAAAAATAGTTAGGCTGTCCAATTCTCCTTGTTTCTCGCTGGGACTCTCATGTTTGGTCAGGGGGAACCATCTTCTCTTGTCGATCACCAGATCAAGATAACTTGTTATGTGGTGAACTCATTCTTTTTCATCGATCACCAGATCAAGATAACTTGTCATGTGGTGAACTCATTCTTTTTCATCGATCACCAGATCAAGGCAACTTGTACTGTGGTGAACTCATTCTTTTTTGTAATCATCACCACATCAAAGCAACGTGTCATGGGCCAAACTCATCCATTTGTCACTGATTATTGGCTTAAAGCTTCTTGTCCATTCCCTGCAACAAAAAAAAACCAACAGCTCCCTTGGTCTCAATGGGTCATGCTTTTGGTATCTCTTCCTGTCTCCTTTCTGCTGCTTGCAGTCTCCTGTGTACAACTCACAATGCCCTATACATGGACCACACTGCTGCCCGCTTGATCCAACCATGCCGGTCTTAAGATCTGTATAATGATCTACCATGTTCGCATATTTTCTTTAATTCTTCACATCGGAATATCTGTATCACAGTCATTTGCTCACTTTAATCTAACTTCAGTCTACACTTTCAACTGTTAATATAATATCCTATGTACTCATCTTGGCTACATAAATGATAAGCAGAATAATATTTGGAAAAAAAATCTCAATCTTAAACAGTCAAAGAAGAACCATAACAGAAGAACCTTGAAGAACCCCCATGAATCAGCATTTGTCGGGTCTTATCTAACTGCAAGAGTTTTGCCCAGGGGTTTCATGCCATTTTATTTTTGCAAAATCTTCACTTTTAAAACACCCTCACAAATTTCAGCTGTTAATCAATTTTGGTTATTGTCTTCAGCTAGAATTATAATCTTGTCTAACTCTAGTCTGTTTCAAACCCAATCAAGTTTGAAATAAGACGGTGTTAAGAGCCTTTTTGAGGACGGATGAAGAGAGAAAAGAATTACAGTACTGGTAAATGAAGAATGCTCATTCAGAATGCAATCAAAATTAAGTACAGATCCAACAAAACAGGTAAGGTTATTTGTAGACAGAAGTAGTAAAGCAGATTATGCCATTTAAAGTTGTGACCAAAATGTTAAAAAGTTGGTTTTGTATCCTTTACAGGACATTGAAGAACCAACCCCAGCATTTTTTGGCTGTTGTGGTTTTCTAGGCAAATTTTATGTTAAGTAGTTTGCCACTGCTATCTAAACGGTCAGCTCTTTGTACCACTGCAGAAACCAATGCAAGAAAAAACTTCCGCAGCCGGGATCGAACCCGGCACCCTGGCATTATGAAGCACGTTTACAACACCAAAGCCAGAGATGCCAACATGTCCTAAATGACGAATCAAAGAAAACAAAATACACAACTACAATGGGAACACCCAAAGTAGCAATGAAACTGTATGGTTTTCAAGAAAGATAGTCTGTAAACAAAAATAATAGAAATCTGAATTATATATCGGATTTAAGAAGTAACAGTTCAATTCCTACATCCAGCAAGAGAAATACACAAATGACTGACTAATATACTAGATTTGGTGTCACAGCACTCAGGAAACAACTACTGTCGCTCCCTGAAAATAAGCCTAGGTCTTATATTAATTTTGGCTACATGACGCCTTAAGTAAGGTTCAATTTTCATTTATTCAAATGCACTTTTAAATATTTATTTGTATGAGATTTATGTACAGATATCCCTTTATAATTCCTTATGTCCATTGTGGGTTTTAACGGACAAACAAAAGCCATCAATTTGGCTGAGAATCTTGACTAGGGCTTATAATTGGGGTAGGGCTTGTGTTGCAAATATCATGACAAATTATGCAAGGCTTATTTTCTGGGTTTTCTTATTTTGTGAGAAACACAACAAATGTGCTCTGTCTCCTTCAGCATATACTGGAGTGAAGGCATGCCAATTTATCCTGCTGCACACTGGCTTTTGTATTAAAAAATAAAACAACATCAATGCAAACTTAGTTTTCAATACCTGATAAAGGGATTTATCCTGTTCCACACTGATAACTGTATTTAAAATTACAAGAAATACAATGAAAAACTGTCATTTAATGTGTGGCAAAGAGACAAAGGCATGTTGAGTTATCCAGCTCAGCACTGAATATTGTATTTTTTTTTTAAATCGAAGCTAAACTTACCTTTTAATATGTGGTAAAGGGACTAAGGGTATGAATGTATCAGCTTTCTTGTACGGTCTAGTTATATATGGCAAACTGCTCATTCTGTTAATAATAGACAAAATAAACATTAGAATCCACAGTTTACAAGCGTATTCTTTTTTTGAGAGAGACAGACACTGCATCCCTTGTTGACTTTCCATTAACACAATCAGTCAACATATGCAGTTACTTTTATTTCATGTCTGGGACCCGCAGCAGGTATAGTGGATAGCACAGTTGACTGGCAGCTTAATTCTAGTCATTGGTTCAAAGGTGCATTCCTCTTATTTTTGTTCATCATTTTGAGCTCCTGAGATTCAGTGCTGAAGATAACACCTGCCTGCATTCACCTCTGTGATTGACTTTCTCTTTCCAGTTGGTGACTCCAGGTGTTTGTAAGTCTGCCTGCATATTATCTCTCCACTAACTTCTTGGTCTGCCTCATGGGCTCCTCTCATTTAATTTTGTTGTGTACGTAGATTTGGTGTCTCTTATCTGCCATTCTCTGTGTTTGCCTTAACCAATGCAGTCTATTAATCCTCATGATTCCAGTCTTGAAAGAAACTGATTCAGGAAGGGAACTGACTGCCCACATCAGAAAGAGTCTGCATTCTTTGGTCATGTGATGAGAAGGAGAAAACTGGAGTACATCCTGACAGTAGCTGGAGGGGAGGAGAGGCTGAGGGAGACCGAGAGAAAAGATGCTGGACAGTTTTATATTATGGCATGGAGGATTATCTGTGTTAGAGCTGATTGAAAGTACACGAGACATAAGGTTTTGCTTCTCACACTCCATTCTCTGCTGTTTGCATCTTTGATAAGTCCAAGAGGTCATCATAGGACAAAGCCTCTATGAAGGCTTTAGTGCGAGACTTGTCCTCTATTCATCGACACAGTTTCAACCGCAATACCAACTGGCCAGGCCTGGGATCTTTCTATTGCATGATGACAACATGTGTGCAGCGTGTGTTCAGTATTCTGTGGTGCCTGACCACATGGGCAAAGTTGTGAGTTCCCAGTCTTGAGTGTCTTGTACATATGGCAGTGAAGTCTGTTGCGTCCACTTAGCAATCTAAAAATAATTGCCAACTAGGTGCTCAGGATATGAAGGTTCCCATGGGTTTTGACGGCTGCCATGATCTAGCTGTTCTTGTCCCCGTAAATGCATTCTCTATCTAGCAGTTCTGTATGTTTCCCAATTTGAGTTAAGTGGTCTGCTCTTTCATTTCTGTCATGTTGCAATGGCCTGAAATAGATTGCATTGTTTCTGTACTTCTTCTCTTAGTATCCTAGAGCAGTTAAAGTTTTTACCCAAGCACTCGTATGCTTAGCTTTTTCCCCCCCTCAAATTCAAATGCACATTTGTTTAATGATCTGGGCTCCTACAACAACCTAACCTCAAAATGTGTGCAAGGAAATGTTCTTAGAAGTAAAGGCAGCTGACATGACACTGACCACATAATCTATGAATTACTGACTGGTCTATACAAATATGGAGCTAGTATCATATGTCTAAGAAGTTCAGTCCTCATAACTGGTAGGACTAGGGTTGTTTCTTCTGAACACATCAGCACAGATGTTTTCCTAGTGTTTCTTATAAATACATCAGGGCAGCACAGATGTTATCATAGTGTTTCTTATAAATACATCAGTGCAGCATAGATGTTTTCCTAGTGTTTCTTATAAATACATCAGTGCAGCACAGATGTTTTCATAGTGTTTCTTATAAATACATCAGTGCAGCACAGATATTTTGATAATGTTTCCTATAAATACATCAGTGCAGCTCTGATGTTATCCTAGCTCTCAAAGATAAATAATGAAACAGATTTTTATTAAAACAAAAGTTGATGAACAAGACTCATTATCTAATCTCTCTATTCAATTTGGACAGATTTATCCCCGTGTGGGCTCGGGGCCCTATTATAGGGAAAACAAGAATAGACTAACTGCCTACCCAAAAGCATGACGAAAGAGTAGACTAATTGGTAGCTTCCCTCGAAGGCGGAGTGCGTTTAATAACACACACACAAAACGATAACACGATGTTTGCAGATCTCACTTTCTTCTTCTTCTTCTTCTGTGTTCAACATTAAAAGGTTTGTTGGTATGTCATGTTGTGGTTTACAGCTAGGCTGTGATATCTACACATCCAATTCTGCTTAGTCCTCTTTTACAACATAATTGCTAAGGAAAAGTGGGTCTCTTCTCACCCTCCCCCTCCCCCCCCCCCCCCCCCCCCCTCATCAACTAACCTGAATCTGGGCATTATATCCTCAGAAGAAGTTTTATAGAAGCTGGAGGAGTACTCCGGCACCTGATAACTCTTGTATCCCGGTGAGGCTTCAGCCAGTGAGTTCCTCTTGTCTATGTTGTCTTCTAGGAACAATTGCAGTATTTCAGTATTTTATTAAATTCTGGACTTTATTAAATGGTTACAAGATAATATGTAATGTGCAGATATTGTATAGGATGTAATACACTTTCTATTTCAAGATACATTCAGCCTAAACTGTCAGCAAGAAATGATTTCTATAACTAACTTATAATTTCATTTGCAGTAGTAAGTCTGTCTAATCTGATGCTTAAATTTTATTCTTATTAACATTTTTTTTTAAATGAGAAATTTACATTAGGTGAGAAGAAGTTGTTTTTTTCTGCGCCTTCATAAATATTGGGCATACAGGGTTAGATCTATATTTTATAGACCAATCAGCACTTGGTGTATGATGTGGTCAGTATCAAGCCAGCCGCCTTTACTTCCCAGGACTGACCTGGTACCCACTCAAGGCTGGGTCGACCTAGGAGCCAAGGTCATTTTTGTAAGGAAAAAAAAAAGTTAAATCTCCATCAGGAACCGAACCCATGACCTTCCGATTCGCAGGTGAGTGTATAGCTGCTACACCATGGTGATTATTTAATCTGAAACAAAATGATTAATTAGAATTAAATTTTATAACAAGCACTGTACAACTGATTACTGATTTAAGACAGACATCATAGCACACAGGGCTACCCATAGATGCTCCATCTCCTGCAGAAAATGTCTTAGTGTGTAGATGTTACCCGTTTCCATAGCAAAATGATTATACACATGTCGTTCTCTTCCTCTCATAGTCTCTCCTTGCCTGATCCACACCTAATTCCTTGTTCGCACATTTTATACATGTTACTTCAACTAACCTCATGTCTTTTACCAGCATTCATTCATAATGGCCTTCAGAATGTCTTTCTTTGTACAGTAACACAGCTATCGCCTTTGTAGACAGAGAAAATCCGGTCTTTTGTTCCCTCTCATTCCTGAGTATATAAACCTGATTCCCTGCGATGCTGACCTACTGATGCTTGGTATCCACTCACGACACTTTTGTTCATTTTGAACCTTCTGCAGTACCGACTGAAAATCAGACCCAATAATTCCTCTAGTAACTTTTTTTCTGCTATTCACCTCAGAGCCACAGTGATTGATTCCAACTCCATCCTCATGCTTGAAGTTGTAGAGAAAAAAAAAAAAAAAAGCTCTTTTTTGTTCTGCAATGATCTTTCCCTCCACTCTAGATCTTCTGCCAGATCTTATATAAAGGCTCAGGGGGCTGGGTCACACCTGGAGAACGGAGGATGGCAGAGTCCCTAAGGACATCCGTTATAGTGATCTGAAGACAGGTAGAAGATGTTGAGGCTGACCTCTTCTACCGTATAAAGATGTGTGCAAGCTGGACATGAATGATACAGGTATTGACATGGACTCATGGGAACAAAATGCCATGGACCGTGTTGTGTGGAAAGGGCATATCAGGAAGGGAATGAGAGTGAAGGAAGGAAAGAGTGCAGAAAGGATGAGAGCTGAGCGTCTGAAAAGAAACGAATTAAACACAAATGGTGACAACAATGGTCCTGAAATTCCATGCTATCATTGTGGAAGACTTTTTCTGACAGAGGCGGGTCATGCTAGTCACACTCGCCATGGGCTGTGAGTCCCATGCCTCCTCATAGCGCAATATAACACTATCGTCTGGAAAGACAGAAAGGTCCAGATCTTACATCCCAATAAAAAGACCCATCAGTGTGAACTAGTGCATCATCGAGCCCAGTTTTTATATATCAGTTGTTGTACCTCTAATTCTGTCATACTGTTGTACCAATCTCTACATTATCTTCCTAATGTGATAATGACCGGATAGAAACTGTTTTGAGTTTTTATGTCGACCCATTCCTGCCCCCTGTGTATTTGCTCAACTGAGCCTGCTGGCCCAATGTTATCTTCACCTAGTGACATCCATGAATTTCCTCTTTTCAACCAGTATAGATGTACAAGACATTCAATTATGCTCTTAACAATTAAAAGTATACCTCTTTTGTCAACTAAACTGTATACAATAAACCAAATTATACTGCAATCTTCTTGCCTTTACTTCAACATTGATTACTCTTATAGTTTTTCTATTAAATGACTTACCATGCCTGGCACATCCGTACATCACCTCCTTGTCTGATGTTAGAGAGGCCATGTGCACACCATCGAAGAAACATCTCAGCCCAAGTTTTGTCAGGTTTGGTGCTAGTATCCACTCCTTCTGTGACTGTCGATTGGAGACTAAAATAAGAAAATACAACAGTCAACAAATGATACTTTGAGTTGATAGAGTCGTTAGAATGGACTATGAAATAGCCAACGAATGAAACTTTGAGTTTATAAAGTTGTTAGGCTGGACTATGAAATAGTCAACAAATGATACTTTGAGTTTATAAAGTTGTTAGGCTGGACTATAAAATAGCCAACAAATGAAACTTTGAGTTTATAAAGTTGTTAGGCTGGACTATGAAATAGCCAACAAATGATAATTTGAGTTTATAAAGTTGTCAGGCTGGACTGAGAGATAGTCAACAAATGATACTTTGAGTTTATAAAGTTGTTGGGCTGGACTATGAAAAATGATGCTAGGTACATATTTGAATAGACCCAGCAGCAGCTGATTAGTGAAGTGGTCAATATTGCAAAAGGCCAATTTTACTTCCTCTGTCATTTCCTGGTACATGGGAGTTAAGGTCATGTTGTTTTTCTAAATTTGCCCAGTAGTGTTGCTTTGAACTGAAGACATTCAGACCGGCAGATGAGGATCTATCTAGTCACTATGCTATGCTCCTGAGACCATTAAAGTTGAGTCTTTTCCTAGTCCTTGAAATGTATTGGTAACCGGTTCCAACTTCATTCACCTTGATGGAGATTAAAACACATTACCACCAGATCAGTTGGTAAGTTGGCTAATCACCTTGCTACCACTGCTTTCTTATATATTACAACACACACACAAATACACACACAAATACAAACACAGACATGTAATGGTAGCAGGCAACCTTCAGTCCCTGGGGACCGTGAAGGTGTGAAGCTGGTTTCAGAAATATTGTCTTCTATGACAGTAAAGTCCAATGTGTGAGTGGCAGTCGATGCCACATAGTTCACAAACAAACATTGCTGCTCTATCATTCTGAGACTGGTGTTCTCCCAGACATCTGCTCTCTATAACTTGCTACATTTGGCTTCTTTCAGACTGCAAAAATCCATCCTGTGTTTGGCTTGCTTTCAAACTGCGACAGTCCATCTTTCACTGCCTTAAAAAGTGTTGGTCTGCAACCGTCCTGTCATGAAATACCAAAAATGCAAAACAATACATTTACACAAACACACTCATGCACACACACACCCACATGTACACACACACACACACACACGCCCACCCATGCACACACACATGCTTACATATTTAAATTGAAAGTATCACCCAAAACAAAACCCCCTAATCCTTCCAGAGTTAATTATTCATAAGCTATTTGAAATATGTTGTCACAATAAATTTTTTCAAAATATTCACAATCTTGTCATTGAACAAGCTTAGAAAACTAGCACTTCCTTCAGCAACATTTTAAAATCGAATTTATTTACCAACTTAATAAAATGTAACAATAAACAACTGATTTTACAGAAACTGAAAAATAACCTGGTTAGCCAGACTGGGTAATTACAGTGTTGTGAAATATAAACAGTTAAACAGAATAAACATATTAAACATTATAGGAAAATTTAAAAAGCAACGTAAAACTTTAACACTTCCATGGAAATTCTATTTGAGAATCCACATACATATACATACATGGATAAGGCCGTAAAGCTTTCCAGTTATCTGGCCAAATTTCTGCAGCTGGATAATCTGGGTTAGAAGGGGCAGGTATGTATTTCAACTTTGAACTCCAGTCTGGGCCTGATCTGATTTCAAATTGGGTTGGGAATTATAATTATGTGAATAATGTGTAAATATTTTACTATTGAAACAGTGAAAGTGATGAAGTGAATTTGTTTCTATTAAAACACATGGAATATTAAAGCAATTTTTCCCTCTTGTAAACTTGAATAAAAAAGACACAAACAATAGATTTCACTATTTATTGCCTTTGAATATTTTGCTGTATCTCTGCGGGTGCATAGTATAGCAACAATTATATAAATTTTAATCCTTAATCTTAGTCTTAGTCAAGGTTTCAACATTACAGCGATCAGGTTTATCCATACTAGCAAATGAAGCAAATAAGTGAATCCTTTATACCTTAAGGACAGATTTAGCAACAATCAAATGCAACTGCCTATTTTACCAGGACAGCGCAGTGTCAGAGTCTTTTTTGTTTACAGAGTTCAGGGCAGAGGTAATGAATCATGGCAGCTTGTTTGTGTCTTCTTTATTCAAACAGGAAAAATTAATGAATTATTTTACTGCAACAACTGTGCAAGTAATTCTTGTAAAGTATTTAATAAAACAACATAAATTATTCTTCGTTTCTTCAGCCTTTTAATTCCCCTAGAGAGCATAGGCCCCTAACCATCCATGCCGTCATCCTATCCTTTGTATGCAGCTCACCCCTTGTCCTCCCTATCGTTTTCAACTTCACTATCTAGCTCCCTGTCAGCGTCTGTGGCTTATGTGTTGTGAACGCACTTCGTAATGCCGGGTTCGATGCCAGCTGCAGACAATTCTGTCTTTAGTTGGTTTCGACAATGGTATCAAGAGCAAACTGTTCAGCAAGCAATGGCAAACTAATGAATGTAAAAATTGCCTTAAAAAACCACAACAGTCACAAAGTGATGGGGTTAGTTTTGCAACGTCCCATTAAGGATGCGCAAGTAACTTAATCTAGCTCCCTAGACCAGGTGCTTTTTGATCTGCTTTTACTTCTATGCTCCTGTGGGTTTTAGTCTAACGAGATTCCTGTTAACTATCTATGTAAGATGTCCTTATGTATAAAATGACACATACTTTTTAAAGCCCCAAAATTAGGAAATAAAAATTGTAAATAGCAAATATATTTTTTTGAAAAGTTATTAAATAGTCACACCACTGATATATTTAGTACCATATATTTATTTAAACAGCATTAAAAGTCTATGGTTAAACACCAGCAAGGTAATCAAAATTAAAATTTTGAGAGCATGCATCTTCCCTGTAGCAACATACAGATGTGAGTTGTGGACTATCTCCCAGTCCTTAAAAAAGAGAATAGTGGCTTTCGAGCTGTAATGCTATAGAAAAATCTCAGAATACAATGGAGAAAGAAGAGAATAAATACTGACAATATGAAAAGATCTGAACATCAAGGAAGACTGGCTGATAAACAGCATTTTATCTCACAAGCTGAAATATTTTGGTCATTTCAAGCGCCATGGCGGACTGGAAAAAAGTAATAGCAGAAGGCATGGTACCAGGAAGAAGGGGCAGGGGCCGACCAACAAGAAGATGAGATCAGGATATAAGTGACTCCTTGAATATGGAAGTACAGAAGCAGGAGAGCTGGAGAGAGACCAAGTTTCTTTCAGGCAGACCGTGATGAGAGTGATATTCTGCAAAGGATCTGCTGCATGTTAACTCTTTGAATCACAAGGAACGCATAATACGTTCATAGGTTCCTACCTAGAGGCCTAATGAACGCAAGATGCGCCGATTTTACATCTCTTTTGACTATCCCTTGGGCCTCTGATGTTAAACCCCCCTGGGACTTGAAGAGTTAATGATATTTAAACATAACTTAGTTCATGTTCTCATGGCCAAGCCTTCTCCTCATGAAGTTGAAGCACCAATTTGTCTTTCCAGTGAATATGAGAAATATTCATTTCCTTTGTAAATCTATTTGCCTCACATTTTATCCTCTTGGGGGAAGCGGGTGCTGTGATGAATATTAGTGATAACATTCTACTTCAAAACTCAACTTTATGGAAGCTATTATGGAACTAACAGAGAAAATAAGTTGGTTTCTAATGAAGTTTACTCAGTGTATTTGACATTAATATTCTCGTAGTGAGGTTTCCATGGTTCCTCTCTACCGTCAGGCATGTATATGTGTCTTCGCCCCTGTTCTTCAGAAGGATTAGTTTTGCCAGGTTTATTATGCACATCAGGAAAGTGTCTCTTCTCTCTCTCTGAAATATTATGTAAGATGAAAGAGTTATAATTAAATATAATACAACATAGGTAATATAATATGATATAACATAATAATCTGATGTGATGTAATGGAATGTAATACAATATGATTTTAATATAATATAATATAATATAATATAATATAATATAATATAATATAATATAATATAATATAATATAATATAATATAATATATATATAATACTTTTAAAAAAAAGTAAAGGATCCTTTTCCACACCTTTAGGCATATAGCTAGACCTATATTTTTATAGACCAATCGGCACAAGATGGGTGATGTGGTCAGCATTCATGCCGGCCGCCTTTACTTTCCCGGGACCGCACCCGGTACCCACTCAAGGCTGGGTTGACCTGGGAGCCAAGGTCATTTTTGAAATTAGTCTGGGAGCGAACCCACGACCTTCCGATCCGCGCCGAGCGTCTAGCCGCTCTGCCAAGGCGACTCCCAATATATAAAATAAAATATAATATAATTTAATTTAATATAATATAATCCAATAGATTTCCAGACATCCAAAGTATTACATTATTCAATAAGAATGCATGGGGAAATCATAACCCTACTGTGACCAGTGAACAAGTGCATGATAAAAAATGTTTTTCACAATAAGGGCCATGATTGCTACATTGTGCTGTTGCGTTTCTTTTCAAATGATCAGCTCTTAAACTATCTGGTTTTATTTGCTCTATTATCACTATTTTACTCTGGATCTTTTCTCTCTATACATCATGATCCATGTTATCATGTTTCCATGAATCCATCTCATTACTACCTTTAACATCCCTATCCGTTCTGCACACATTGTTTTATTATATAATTGTGGCTTATACAAAATTATTTTATTTGTAATTCATCACAAAGGATGCCATTAAAAGTTACCATCCTGCGCCTAAAAAAGTTCAGTAATGTAAGTATAATTAGAGCACATTCCAGCTTTTGTAATTAAGACTTGGATGTGAAATTTTTTAATTCTTATTATTTACCATGAAATTATCTATGAATGAATAACTGTATGCAAGGAGTTGACTGGAAGGGTAGAATGTTAGACTGGCCTGTCTGCCCAACTCCCAACCCTTTGGGAAAAAAAAGTTTGTTTATTCGTTCGTTCATTTGGGAGTATCTTTGCTATCTGAGCAAATCAAGACCGAGCTTTAGGCGGAAAAAAAAAGCTTTTTTCCATACCTCAGTGTATGCGATATTATCTTGCTTCTTAATACCAAGTGTTCTTTGTGAGCATTGCATGTGAAAGCTTAGACATTTCTCAAGCATGAATAAGTTATTAAAGTTTAAAGGGCTACTGGGTGTAACTAGAGGGTCTGGCCAGCTCACTACACTCACAGGAAGGGCAAGACGGACTTTTAACCAGATTGTGACCGGTACCATCAGTATTGGAACTCTGCGCTGGCTGCTGAAGATGAGGACGGAGCATGCATGGAAATGCCCTCAGTGCTGTGATGTTAATTCTTGACTCAACTCAATTTAAAGGCTAAAGAGTGTCAAAGAGACTAACTTGGGAGACTATGGGTTTTTAATTTTAACTGCAAGCTTTCTACTTTCCCAAACTTGTGTTTGTTTTTGTTGTTGTTGTTGCTGTTAACAGTAGAGCAGAATATAGCAAAATATAACAATAACAAAAATTACCCCAAATATATATTTTTGAAATTTGGTTAAAGTACATACTTAAAATAATTATTTACAAAATTCACAGACACTTGTAGTTGGAAATGAACTAGCACTTTTGAACTGAGGGTGCTATAAATCTAATCTACCCACTGTTACTAGAATAACATCAACAGTTTGTGGAGTTATAATTTAAAGCAGTCAACATTATCAGCACTTCGATCATTTGAATCATGTCTGCTTTGTGCAATTAAATTCTGTCCCCAGAATTATGTATCCAGAATACAAATCTGTTATTTTGAAACTGAGCATCCAGAGAGACAGTTGAAAGAGTAGTCAATTTTTAAATGGCTGAGAAATCCTTGAGTTCTTCTGCAACTTAAACATTCCCATATGGTTCAAACTTGAGATTATTATGTGACCAAAGGGGCGCTTCCAGGATTTGTACATACAGGATTCTCACCCTGTTCATCTTGTGGACTGCAGTCCTGGAGAACTAACCATTTATCCTATCCTTATGCACACCCCCATGTGACTGCAGTCCTGGAGAACTAACCATTTATCCTATCCTTATGCACACCCCCATGTGACTGCAGTCCTGGAGAACTAACCATTTATCCTATCCTTATGCACACCCCCATGTGACTGCAGGATACACTAGGCTGGTTCAGCTGTTACAGGAGCCCTAATTATAGCTTCTTTTGAGACTGAACAGGATATCTGGGATCAACCTGTTGGTCTGCCATCCGGATAGGGAATGAGATTTTGTAATCTCAGGGTGTTGAGTCCTTGAGGCCACTGAAATCAATTAAAGAATCCGAAACAAAGAAGGTAGGCCCTAGGTTGTAATAGAATTCCAATGCACTCTTTCTATTGTCTTAGTAGTACACTTTCTCAGACTGCTGTTTGTTCATTTCTTGATGTTGTTCTCCCATTAGTATCGTTGTCTACCTCTTGCTCTCTTACCTATAACTTTTCCCACCAGTATGGTATTTTAAAAGTGTTATGACAAGTTATGTCGTTTAAAGTAGGAGACATATTTTGGCTATCCTCCGAATAACGGTGGCAGCAGTCGCCGAAAAACCGCAAATTAGGTCACGTGACTGTGGCTCAAAAGGATACTTCGCGGCCGCCATCTTTACCGCCCGTTATTCGGAGGATAGCCCATATTTTATTTCACGTTTCCCAATCTTTTAAGTTATGAAGTCCTTTTCTTCTGCATTCATGAATGTCATTCCATACAGTACAATTTATTTATCATTCTAGTAGCAGCAGATCGTAAAACGAAGACTCTTGTCGTTATTCAGATCCGTTCTCGCTCTGTCGTTTACTCTGGGACGACCCCGTCCTTGAGTCATAGTCATGCTTATGAAGTGACGAAAGGGGGCAAAAAAGGCAACTTACTTACCTTTCTTGCCTGTCTTCCCTATTTCAGCTGTCACGTGAATCATTATACATGCTCTAAGATGTTACAAATTTTAGCAATATTTCACAGCAAACACGGGATATATAATGTAAAAAGAAATAAAGGCGGCTGTATGTCGATCAAAAGTAGCCGCCATTTCCTATTAATCTATGTTACCATGGTAATATGTCGTTTTATTTCCTATGTCAAAGGTCAACTTCGTATGGCGGTTCCTATTTCTTAAAAGAAGAATGTGCTTGTAATTGTGTATTTTTTAAACGTCGCTCACGTCACCCCTTAGAGATCTACATACTCTCCATTCCTCTTTTGTGTAGTCCACTTGTGTTTGAAAAAGGCTGCCTGGCCGAAACGTTACGTTGTGTTGTTTTGTGCACGTTTTCCTTTTTCCCATTTTGTTGAGCTTTTTAGTCAAATTTCTCTGGAATTCATTGTAATTGTGTATGTGTATTTCTTTTTAAAGTGTCCAACGCACAACTGGTGTATTACAACTATTAGCCGCTTGCTCAGAACGTCGCACAAAACAGGAACCATGTAGCTCTAGCGACTATCCACATATATCTCCGTAAAAACTACATCCGCGAACTGAACGATATGTCAGTAAAAGGAAACCACGACTTTCTGGGCGTGAGGTAAACGGACCAACCAACCACTTCACCACGCAGACCTAGAGCGCTAAAGAAGGAAGAGAAAAGAATGACGAACAAAAATATTAAAAAAAAATATAAGCTTTAAAATTTTGTGTAAAAATTATCGCGCCTTTTTATGGAAATATAAATAAAAGCACGTTTCGACAATATAAAGAAACAAGGATGATGATATCCCTTCTCCCCCCCCCCCCCCCCCCCCCCCCCCCCCCCCCCCCCCCCCCCCCCCCCCCCCAATGGTAATATCCATGACTGAAATATTTTTTTTTTAAGTACGGCTCTTTATTAATTTCCTATTCCCAGATGACGTCACAGGACAGTCCAACATTTAAGAAGGTGGTGAGACTGGGTTTCCGGCTTTCTGATGCTTTTACGACCCCAAAACATCTGGAACTGGCCCTAAACCTAACCCATCTACGTCCCACGAGAGAGGGCAGCATAGGTCACACGACTGCATGCAGCCTATCTGCCACCCCCTGAAATATTAGACTGTCCTGTGACCTGTGGATTTCCCCTGTTTGGAGTAGGGTATTAATAAAGCACCAAAAGTACTCTCTATATTTCCAATTATAATCCAAATGGGTTTAACATGATATTGCTGATTAAACTACTACTACTACTACTACTACTACTACTACTTCGATTACCACAACCACTACTACTACTACTACTACTACAACCACTACTACTACTACTACTACTACTACTACTACTACTACTCCAGATTATAAGCAGCTGATAGAAACAACATTAAATTCATTGGGGGGGGGGGGGGGGGGCGCAGAGTGGGGAAGCTTCCCTCTCAGACTGCATACTGAAAAAAATTAGCATCATGTGTCTCAAAGAGTCACTCCCCGGATGGCAATTCAATAGAATCAAATACCAGAAACCGTGTCCAGTCGTATAACCCAGTTATGTTAGGGTACCAGAGAGTTACGAAGTAACCTGTACCCCAGTTTATATTATAGTGAGAAACGGTTAGAAAGCTATATAACGATAGTGGATTGAAATGAAAACCTTAATATTTGTAATATATTCTGAAAAAGTATAGACTAAATGTATAATTGTTGATGCAGTCATCATTGTGCTCACTGCAAGTACTCCAAGACCGATAAAATGCTTAGACTTACGTTACAAAAACAACAACAAAAACTTGACTGCTTGTGCAGCCACTCATGCATCAACTCCTCTACCTCTTCATCGTCATCATCTTCTTCTTCTTCTTCTTCTCCCTTTCTATCCCCCAATGGAGCATAGGCCCTCAACCAACTCACGTTAAATCGTTCTATCCTTCGCCATTGCATGGAGCTCTCCCCATGTCCTCCCTATCTTTCTAACTTCATTCTCCAGCTCTCTTCTCCATGTGTTTTTTGGCCTTCCTTTATTCCTATGCCCCTGTGGGTTCCAATGCAAAGGCATTCTAGTTATGTTGTTCTCCTGTTTTCTCTTGGTCCACTGGAGCCTATTTAGTTCTCTCCCAAAGTTATACATTAGTTATTCTATCGTACAATTTAATTCCCTATATTCTGTGCAGCCACCAGTTAATGAATGTCTGAATGTTTATTAGTAATTGTCTTAGTTGTTCTCCATGTTTCCGCCCCATACAAAAATACTGATTTGACATTAGAATTAAACATTTTTAGTTTAGTATTTCTTCTAATTTCTTTGACCTTCACAAATTCCCTAGTGCTATGAAAGTCCCTCTTGCCTTTTGTATTCTTATTTAAATATCTCTATCAGTTCCTCCATCTTTATCTACATTACTGCCTAAATAGGTGTACGACTCCACGTTTTCGAGTGGGGTGCCATTAAGAGAAACCACATTACTATTTGCCTGATTTATTCTTATTATCTTTGTTTTTCCTTTATGGATTTTCAGACCAAGCTGCTGTGATCTTGCATCAAGTATATTTAATTTATCTTGCATCTGATGTCGTGAATGGGACAGAAGAGCAATATCATCAGCGATGTCCAGATCATCAAGCTGTTTTGTAGGGGTCCACTGAATTCCATTCTTGGTGTTAGCAGCTACTGTTTTCATAATCCAGTTTATAGCCAGTAAAAATAAGAGAGGAGACAAAAGATATCCCTGTCGCACACCTGTTTTTTTTTCAAATGCATCTATTAGCTTTCCCTCATGAAGAACTCGACATTTCATGTCTTTGTATGTTGCCTTCACTAAGTTGATAACTTTCTGTGGGATTCCATAATGCCCCATCAATTTACAGAGAGATTCCCTATCAATGCTGTCAAATGCTTTTTCATAGTCTATAAATCCAATGTAAAGTGGTGAGTTCAGTTCAATGCTTTGCTCTATTATAATACGTAATGTAACTATATGGTCAGTACAGGATCTGTTTGACCGAAAACATGCCGGTTCATCTTTTAGCTTTTTACCAATAGCATCTTTTCTTCTTCTTCTTCTTCACTTCCTCTTTTACCGCTGTGGGTGTCGAGGGAGATATAAGGTTCAGTTTCTATCTATTCTGGCCGCCTCGACCATAGGCACATCCTGCTGTTGTACAGTTTCTCTGATGTTATCCTTCCATATGGTTCCTGGTCTACCTCGTGCTCTTCGTCCTTCTTCTCTTTCCATGTATGCTTTGTATAGTATGGTGTCACAAGGCATTCTCTCTAAGTGGGCAAACCATTTCACTTGCTGTCTTCGTATGTAATTTAGAATTGGTTCTGTGCCGACTTTTTTTCTTATGATCTCATTCCTGATCTTATCTCTTTTAATCTATCCAAAATTATTCTACTTAATATTTTTCCAGAAACTGACAGCAACATAATTCCTCTATAGTTTTCACACTCCTGTAGATCATCTTTTTTTTGGGCAGTTTCATAAGGCATCCTTTTCTCCAGTCTTCGGTCTCCCAGACTTTACTGAATAATCTATGTAGCAATTCTGTTGATGTGTTTATGTTGGCCCTGATGGCTTCCGCCGGGATACCATCTGGGCCTGCCGCCTTTCCTTTCTTGAGAAGATTGATAGTTTTTCTAATTTCCTCACAGTTGATATCCAGTTCCATTTCTAAAGGCTGGATATCTGGGGGAACCTCTGGGCCTGGTCTGTTTAGAAGCATTTCAAAATATTCCACCCATCTGTCTAGTTGATCTTTAGTGTTAGTAAGTACTTTTCCTTGACCAGTTTTGATTGATCCAGTTGGCTGACTATATTTACCTACTAATTTTCTTGTGTTACTGTAACGTTCTCTGAGGTTTCCTTTTGCTGCTGCTGTTTCCGCTTCTTGTGCTAGATCACTTAGATATTTCACTTTATCTGCCCTTATATGCCTCCTAACTTCCTTGTTGGCTTCTGTGTATTTCTCCTCAGCTCTAGCTTTAGCAGCTCTAGTTTTGCTATTGTTTAAGTCTGCCTTTTTACTTTTTCTATCTTCAATCAGTTTAATGGTTTCTGGTGTTATCGACGCTTTATGTTTCCTTTCTTTCTTGCCAAGAACTTCTACGCAAGATTCATTCCAGATTCCTTTGATCTGATCCCAGCAGACTTGTGTGCTGACATCTTCAGCTAACTGTTGCAACACCTGGTACTTATTAGAGACTGTAACTAAGAACTGTTACTTAACTTCTTTATCCCTGGGATAACCTACATTATAATGGTTTCTAGGATTATAAAATGTTATACATCTTTTTAGTTTCAACTTGATTTTACTTATCACCAGGAAATGGTCAGTAAATACATCGGCAACTCTGAAAGCCCTAACATCGTAAAGGGATGATCTAAACTTTTTGTTAATACATAGTTGGTCAATTTGATTAGTTGTCTTATGGTCTGGTGATTCCCATGTTGCCTTGTGTATTCTTTTATGGGGAAAAAATACTTCCACCAATAACATACTGGTTTCCTGCACAAAAATGCGTGAACAATTCTCAATTTTCATTCATTACTCCATAATTTCTTCATAACCTGTGTTATCTGATCTATCTTAGCATTCAGGTCGCCAATCAAAATTTTTTAATTGCCCTTTTTTTCATTATTTATAATATTTTGAAGCTGCATGTAAAATTCTTCCTTAACAGATGCATCTTTATCATTTGTTGGTGCATAACACTGTATTACCGACATGTTCACCTTCTGTTTAACTGTTCTAAAAGATGCTCTTATTATTCTGGGACTCACAGCTTCCCATTTTATTAGTGCCCTGTCTGCTTCTTTCGATAGCATCAGGGTCACTTCTTCTCTGTGGGGCGAATTTTCCTCTGTGTGTCATGAGAAAGAAATAGTTTCCCCTGAATTTAGAATACTTTTCCCCGCCCCAGTCCATCTAGTTTCACACAACCCTTAAATACTAATTCTCTAATGTTTCATTTCCTTTGCTACTTCCATTGTTCACCCTGTATCATAGAGAGTTCAAAC